GTCTAAAACACTTATTGCCAACTCAAAATCAAATACTCGCGATGAATTCCAGCTACCAAATAACACATGGTAGAAACAGGCAGCAAGAGGCCTCTGAAGAAGAGGTCCTTCGCACAAATGTAAACATGCGTCTCCCCCACCACCAACACAGGTGAGGCAGTACTACATCGCGCTTAGCTAGGGAAGTAGGGGAAATGGCTGCAAACATGAGAAACATGGCCTAACAAAACACTGCCATGCAACAACTACTCATGTAATTGCACCAGCAGGCTCGATAACATGGAATGTTTCCCCAAGAAGGTGAGGAGAATGACACGGTAGCATACCCCTCAAATGCATGGAATTGATGGCAACCCAACGAAGAGGGAGGTTGAAGTAGATACCTCCACCAACTACGTTACGAGCCGACCCGATGATAACAAGCCACATGAGGGAAATGTCCCCCGAATACACTCAAGAGCGTGAACCTTAAAGGTCCAACATCGTATTTGATCTAATTAGATCCTTTAGGCTTATAAATAGGTCCCATCAACCACCCCCTATTCAAAGAGGGCAAGAACAATACCAAGGATATGAACCTCAAGGGATACCAAATAGGCGGGAGAGGAGGGACGGGGCGAACATGAGAAATCAAGCAGGAACGTCACAACCCACTCGTTATTAGGCAGAGGAAAATGATTCTGATGGCCCATGCAAGCTTATTTGAGTTTGATGATGACGACAAAAGCTTACCCTTCTCCAAAGAATTGAGAAGCGCCCCAGTCCCAAGTCACTTTGTACCCCCAAAGATACCCAAATACGAAGGGAAAGGTGCACCTTAACAACTATAAGACCCACATGTCTCTACGAAGAGCCTCGCCAGCGCTAAAAGGCAGAGCTTTTCATCTCATGCTAACAAGAGCCGCAGAAATTTGGTTCAGCCACATCCCAGCCGGCAGCATCAGAAGTTGGCCATACCTCAAAAAGACCTTTTTAAACCAATATCTGTATAGTAAAGATGGAGAGGCCCCAATCCAGAAGCTGCAAGACATAAGGCAACTGACAGGTGAAACCTTGAAAAGTTATTTGTTTCACTTATGAAATGACCTATTGCGAGCAGGTTACAGATAGAGAGGCCCTTTTCTGCCCTAAGGGGATGCCTCGACATGAACACCTTATTTTGGAGGGACGTCCGAAACAGAAATCCTATTTCTTACGATGCTTTGGTGGAGCTGATGAGAAGCGAAATCGTTAATGATGAGGCAACAAAGAGGCGCTGTGTCCCACTTGGTGGACTCGCAATAGACCTAAGTAGGACACACAATAGCCCCTACCTCAGGCCAAGCGTTGGCCACAGCCACGCTAAACGCAATGCCCTCTTTGACATATGAGGAGGTTGGGCCAGAAGCTCAAAGGCAACCGAACCCATCCGAGGAAAAAATAGAGAGCCTCGAGATAGGCAGTACTACAGATATCATGGATCCAATAGCTACAGTATTGAGAATTGCCTATCCAAGCCGTATCATGAAGAACCAGCTAAGCCCCACATTGAGGGTAGAAACACCCGTCAAACACAGAGACATGTACCCCAAGCTAGGTAAGAGAGAGAGTTTAGGCATAATGAGACAAGGCGGTACGACGGGAATGAATCACCTCAGCAGGACCACGAGGAAGATAGAAATAGGGCAAGGGGGCAGAGGCCCAGGAGAGAGCCTCCGACAAATGCTGATAACGTTCCCATCAGAGAAATTGACACTATCATAGGTGGTCCACATATAGGGGAAGATTCCAAGAACGCATTAAAGAACTACGCAAGAGAAGCGAAACCCCCCCTATGGCGAGCTACTTGATCAATAACACTGGCCGTGAATCTGGGAGCACCCTGTTAATCACTTTCTCCCAGCGGACATTGTGGGGGTTTATTACCCACACCATGATGCACTCGTGGTACGAGTTGTCATAGCCAGAAACGGACACTGTGGGGGTTTATTACCCCATGTAGGAGCCGGTCGTGACGAGGCGATAACGAGATCCCTGATAGATCTCATGGTGAAATGATTGACAAGACAATTCACTGTCAGCACTGCATCTGCACACCTACACAAACTAGGGTTTATAGATGCGAAAGGGGTCCTAACATTTAATGCCTTGATTGATGCGCGCAATTAGAAGGGCCAATCGATCTGATGAGGCAACGTGCCCTATCATCCGACGAGCCTCATTTATCTTGCTCAAGTATAAAATCTCACACTTAATGTCATTCAAGGTTAATGCAAGTTTGGACTCTCAAGCCTATATTTTTCCTACATACAATTTTAGTGTTTTACTCCCAAGCCGACCCCCTTTTCTATCAATTAGAGATTTGCGTCCTAAGCTCCTCGACACCCAAAATCATTCTTTAGCCGACTCGAACTTCAGCGTACATGTGGTTAACCAACGGCTTGTCCAAGTGTGTTGGGATTTAGCTTATGTGGACGTGAGAGGTTTTTGAATCTGTTGGCCACATCATTGATATAATTTTTGGGGTCAACAAGTATAACAACGATTACATTCATGTATAGTCGAATTTGATGTGCTTGTAGTTAAATAGTCACACATAATTTGATAGTGTGACTTCAGTGAAAAAAAAAAGAAGCTCCATATTCAATAGTGAATGACAAATTAGGAAATTAATTTAATCACGTGATACACCCCACCTTGCACAAACGACATGCATGTATAGTTGGCACGAAATCGAAGACCATGTCTTACATATTTTAATTATTAAACGTGTTAGTACCATATGTTTTATGTGTTATAATAAATTTTCGGCCAATAGGGAAGAGTTTCTAGGCGTTTTTTTATATTCAACGAACCTTTTTAATCCTTGTTATAGTTACATTATAAAGGCAAATTTGACAATACGCCCTCATTTGGTGGGGTTAAAATCAGATTTTTAGTAGATTTTAATAAAATATGATAAAATATGTGATTGAAAAGTTGTGAGACCCATAAAATATGGGGTTAAAAACTATTGTTTAATCCGTACCAAATAAGTGCTACATGACGTTGATGACTACAATTGACGTGATACTTTCTAATCGGATTTGATAGAAAATTGTTTTTTAAAAAAAGGTTGAATCCTAACTTTGAAGGCCCCCACTGCCCTGCCCCTAGAGCATTGTGGAGGAAGTAAATCGCGAGATGCGTTTCAGCAAACCAGGGTATAAGAGCTGTCATACTGATGCCCACAAAAAGTCCAATTCCATACATTGTATGAGGCAGAAATCGAACCCACATATTGCGACTGTCAGCTCAACTAAGACTACCTTATTCCCGTCCTTTGCACGACTGAACTATACCCCGAAGGGCAAAAATTGTTTTTAATAATTGGAATATAGTAGAGAACATATTATTTTCATTAAGTGATATTTGATAATGTATTACAGAGAAAATGTTTTACTTGACCTCCTTTTATTTTTATTTATTTATTTATTAATTTTAAAATTTTTTTTTTTTTTTGAGATTTTTGCTTCCTTACGTAGGCTTTAGGACATGAGCTTACCGTCATGAGTCTTGTTAAGTTACATTTTCGTTCTCGAGATGTGTACCACTGTTTCATTTGAGTTAGACAAGGTTAGACCATTTTGACATCTAGGTCGTCATTGTTTTGCAACCTAGACAATTGTTACTTCTGATTGGTGGAAATGAAGGTGCTGACGTTAAGTGTGACACTTTCCTATCTTTGATTGGTTGTCAAGGATGGTATTGACGTCATTAGGGAACATTCATTCAGTTTACCCAAGACGATGTCTCTAAATGACGACGAGTTTGGACGTCTTGATGAGATAAGTCCTTTATAGTTCAACATCAAATTCATAGCTTTCTGACAATTAAACTTTTTTACTTACTTTGGAGAGGAGTCACACTTGGTTCGAGGTGACTTCTTGAGATTAAACACCAACACATGACATATTTTTCTTCGTAATGTTCGGTTCGATTGTGCAGGTACTCTCTTAATTTATCGACAATTAACGAAACGAGAAGAGGGTCCAAAGCAAATGTGAACACGTGATGGTGATTATAATTGTACGACAAATTGATTGGGGTCAAATTTGGTTGTTTGCAGCACTATTTTTTCTTCCAATTATTACTTATTAGAGCGCTACCTTGGACTTTTAAAACAGACTCATCATAAAAAATTCTGTTGTAGTTTTACTTTTTCATAATGACTAATCGATGAAAGTCACGCAATAATTTTCATGACAATTTATTATTTTGCCATGTGAAAAATGTCAAAAGTAATTCAGACCTTGTTTGAGCCCTATTTTTTAAATAAAAAATGTAATTTGCAACAATGTTATAATAAAGAATGTGTTGTTAAAAAATAAGAAAAATATTTAAATTTACGTATGATATTATTTTGTTGAATGTGATTGTAATATGATCATATCATTGTTCAAGAATGCATTTGAAAAAAAAAAAAAACAGGGCTCAAACAAGGACTCATTTTACTATATTGAAAAACCCGATAATCATTTTTTCTTTTCTTTTATTTGTCTTATTTTCTCCATCGAAATTCGTTTCTCTTCTAGGCCATGGAACCCATCATTAAAACCAATGATGCTAAATATTAAAATCATTAAAAATAATTTCATCTTGTAACCACCCAAAGAATTTGATTAATCTCCCAGTCCAATCGAATAATTCGAACCTAATAATATTTTGTGGTGATTATAATTTTTCAATGGTTTTTGAGTTGGATATTTTTTCTTTGAAGAATCATTAATCAAGGAAACAAGATAGATACCATCTATGTTGTGGTGGGTGATTATAATTTGCACGGCAACTTGATTGGGGGTCTATTTCTTCAAGGTGGACCCTGTATTTATTGTCTTCAAATTTCTTCTCATCCCTATGTACGTGGAATATGCTTGTTAGACTTAGCCATCTATTCTAGTATCCTTCTATGAGCATATATGATAATAGGTTCTAACGAATTTATTACATTTTTCTTGATTGTTCTTACAAGATTATTGGTCATGGGAAATTCTCTTAGGAGCAGCTCTGTCTCTACCTCAAACAAGGAAGCCATATCTTTGCCTATTGACACCATTTTCAAGCTACCTTCTCCATTGCCCTCTTGGCCATCAGGTTCTCATATCGAGCTTCTTTTCTTCTCAAACATTCAGATTAATGAGTATTGTATAGTGATCCTTGCATAATGCAGGTGGTGACTTTGCTAGTGGTGAGATCGACCTGGGAGGACTCCGAGTGCGCCAAGTATCATCTTTCAACAAAGTTTGGTCGACATATGAAGGTGGACCAGACAACCTTGGTGCAACGGTTTTCGAGCCATCCGAAGTACCTGATGGATTTTCCATCTTTGGTTGCTATGCCCAACCGAATAACCAACCACTTTTTGGTTGGGTTTTGGTGGGAAAAGATGATTCAGGTGACATTTTGAAGAAGCCAACTGATTATACTCTAGTTTGGACTAGTGAGTCCTTGAAAATCAGCCAGACAACCCAAGCCTATTTTTGGCTCCCAACACCACCAGATGGTTATGTAGCCGTCGGTCTCGTCATCACCACCTCGTCGGATAAGCCATCCCTCGATAAAATACAGTGTGTTAGGACCGACTTCTCCGACGAATGTGAGACAGATAACTGGATTTGGGCACAAGGAACGGTGAGAAGTGATAATGGAATCAATTTCTATGGTTTAAGACCACAGAGTAGAGGAACCCAAGCTCAAGCTGTAAGTGTAGGGACATTCATCATCCAAGACCATGACTCTTCTTTATCTTTATCGTGTTTAAAGAACAACAATTTCCCCTCATCTTCTATGCCAAATCTTAAACAAATCGAAGCATTATTTGAAGCATATTCTCCATTTATTTACTTTCACCCCAAAGAAATTTACCTTCCCTCCTCAGTTAACTGGTACTTCAATAATGGTGCTTTACTGTATACAAAAGGAGAAGAGTCAAACCCTGTTCCGATTGAACCCGATGGCTCCAACCTCCCCCAAGGTGGCTCATACTGGCTGGACCTTCCTGTTGATGAAGATTCTAAGGAGAAAGTAAGGAAAGGAGATTTAGCAAGCTCCGAGGTTTATCTCCATGTTAAACCCATGTTCGGTTCAACTTTTACTGACATAGCAATGTGGATATTTTATCCCTTTAATGGGCATACAACAGCTAAACTTGGATTGTTGGACATTTCACTGGGGCATATCGGCCAACATGTGGGGGACTGGGAGCATTTGACTCTCCGAATAAGCAATTTTGATGGGGTTTTGTACAAAGTTTACTTCGGACAACACAGTTCAGGCACATGGATCGACACATCAACGGTGGAATTTCACACCGGCAATAAAATCGTCGCTTATTCAGCATTAAGCGGCCATCCATTTTATTCCAAACCTGGGCTTGTTTTACAGGGAGGTGGTGATATTGGATTAAGAAATTACACTGCAAAAAGTGAGATTTTTATGGATACTGGAGGTGGGTTTTCAATAGTGTCGGCAGAGAATCTTGTTCCAACAGTGGTGGAGCCGCCGTGGTTGAATTATGATCGAGAATGGGGTCCGGTAACTGTGACTAAAGTTGGGGATGAAGTGAATAGGTTGGAAAATTTACTGAGTGGGGACCTGAAACCTTCAATTGAGAAGGTGGTGAATTTACTGCCTAATGAAGTTTATGAAGTAAAAGGTCCATTGGGTCCCAAGATGAAGAGTAGTTGGAATGGCGATGAAAGATAAATGTAAAATATAAGATTTATTT